GGGGATAAGGGGGCATTGGCCTGGGTTAGGATGGACTTTATCTTTCAAAATGTAGTCATTCATTAATTTTTCAAAAAAGCTTTTTTGAGATTTAATTCTCATATCATACAATTCACCCATTTAAATTAAATTCGGTGACTTTTAGTATATTCTCAGAGTTGTGTAACCATCACCACAATCAACTTTAGAATATTTTTACTCCCCCACAAAAGACACCCTGTACTCTTTAGTCATTACCCCTAACCCCTCATATTTTCCCCCATTCCTAGCAACCAGTAATCTACTTCCTGTCTCTATAGATTTGCCTGTTCTCGATATCTCATATAAATGGAACCATACAATACGTGATCCTTTCCTTTGTAACTGACTTCATTCGCTTAGCATAATGTTTTCAAGGTTCATCCATGTTATAGCATGTATCAGTATTTATTGCTGAATAATATTTCATTGTATGGGTGTACCACATTTTGTTTATCCATTTATCAATTGATAGATATTTGGGTTATTTTCACTTTGGGGCTATTATGAACAACAAATACTGCTATCAACATTCATTTATGTACAAGTTTTTTTTTGTTTTTTTTTCTGGGCATGTTTTCAGTCCCCTTGGGTAAATAAATACCTGGGAGCAGAACTACTGGGTCATGTAGTAACTTGTGTTTAGCCTTTTGAGGAGCTGTTAGACTGTTTTCCAAAGCAGCCGCACCATTTTACATTCCCACCAGCAGTGTATGAGGGTTCCAATTTCCCTACATCCCCATCAACACTTATTATCTGTACTTTCGATTGTAGTCATCCTAGTGGATGTGAAATGGTATCTCACTGTAGTTTTGATTTACATTTTGCTTATGCCTAATGATACTAAGCATCTTTTCATGAGTTTGTTAGCTATCTGTATATATTTGTTAGAGGCATTCACTAATTTTGACAGTGATTTTCACAGGGAGTGCAAACAGCCAAGGACCTGGATAGCTGAAGTTCTTCACTCATCTTTGTTGACAGAATAGCATGATTATTTGTTGGAAAGAATCATATATACTGATGATTCCTGAGCACTCTTGGCTTCATGTGGCTGCCTCTTAAACTTCTGAAGCTTAGTCCACTGGACTATTTCTTAAGAGATTTGTAGAAAACTTTAGAGTCAGCCCACTATGTGCAGAAGAGGTAAAGACTTTAGAACGGGGCACACCTAGATTTGATCCACCGGGCCATTTACTAGCTATGTGATCTTGGGATGTTAATTGAGCCCTCCAAATCCCATTTTTGCATCTGAAAAATTTCTGACATAGAAGCAGTAATAAATGTTAGCTAATTCTTTATCCTTCTCCAGGCAGAGCTGTGTCCAGTATGCTTCAGAAACAGACTATTCTTGTTCTCTGTTGTTGAAAGTTTTCCAGGAAGAAAACCTCAGAAAAAAGCCACACCACCTTCCCCTCCCTCCTTACCTCTGTCTATATCACTCTCTGTTGGTTTTCATAGTTATTTGGTTGTTATAATCAGACAAAGACAGAGAGATATAATAAGCTAGTTCCCTAAATTTCTTATAAGGTGGCTGAATTTTGTTATTCACAGGTGTAAAACATAATGGGAATTTTTTAGGAGATATTTGGTGCCTTGGTGTGAAATTATCTTCCCATTTCAAAGTGCCTCTTTTTTTTTTTCAGTACCCTGTGGTGTTTAGTATCCTTTTTTTTTTTTAAAGATTTTATTGGGGAATTGGGGGAGGGAACAGCGTTGGGGGAATCAGGGAAGGGAACAGACAAGTTGCTGTCCTTTGGTTCTTCAGTCTAGTTGTGGAGGACGTCGCTTCACTGGCTCATGTTGGTATTGTGATCATTGCGCTCTTCCCAGGTGAGGCAGATTGGTCGCCGGCCATTGGACGGCCGCTCACGGCGGCTCACAGCAGCTCATGCCGGCTGCCTGCCACTCATGGTAGCTCACAGCAGCTCACTGCAGCCTACGCCTTTGCCAGTGACTCAATGGCAGCCCAGCTCCAGGTCAAGCTGTTGTTCACCATCTTAGCTGTAGAGGGCGCAGCGTCACTGGCCCATGTTTGATCCAAACCAGTGGCCCTGCTGCTCAGAGCTCGTGCTCCCAAGCCAACTCTTAACCAACAAGCCACTTGGCCGTCCCTAGTATCCTACTGATAACTAGGTTCTCAACCCTACTATAATTTATTTAAATAATTATTGAATGCCCATTCCCAATTTTTATACTCTTTGTTTAGGTTTTATCTATCAAAAATAAATCGCTCATTGTTGTCCTCTTCTTAATCTTTATTACCAAGCATTGAATATTTTCTGACTTTTTTTTTAACCCACCATTCATTTGTAATCTGACTTCCATTCCACCACTGTCTAGAAAATTATTCTCACAAAACACTCTTGTTGGTGGGAAAATTAAAAAGCCCTTTCACAGTCCTCATCCTCCTTGTCCTGTAGTGTTAGATACTGGTGATCATCCCTTCCTGGATTAAGCTTTGTTTTTTTGCCTACGCCTTTCACTGCCCCCCTCCCCCGCTTTGTTGATTGCTTTTCCATCTCCTGCCTTCTAATTTGGGCTATTCCCTCAGGCTCAGTCCTTAGCACTCTGCTCTTTCTTGCCCCTAACACAGAAAGCCCAACATTTCCCATGTCTCTAGCTAGCACCTTTATGTGTATGACTTCTAAATGTAAGTTCTCTTCTGACCCAAATTGAATTCTGGTATTTCCAGCTGCTTTAAGAACATTTCCATTTGTAGCCCCTTTGTTGCCGTTTTAAATTAATGTTTAAAATTGAATTTATCAAATTCATTCCCTTCCCAACCCTCATGACTGCTTATTTCTGTTAGTGGTGCACTGTGGCTGTTCCAGGCCCAAATCTTGAAACCTTTGACCCATTTGAGGGCGAGGTCTTGAAATCTTGGAGCCACTGATGTGGCCACTGGAGCCAGCTTACATGGGCTCATAAGAGCCAAATATTACATTTTGGGGAATTTTGTGAGCTGGTTGCTAAGCACAGACATTATTAAAGACTAAATTATATAAATTTACAATTAAATGCATTCTATTTAAAATAAAGGTAATAAATACCCAAAACGCATCACTTCATGATTATTTTACTGCATGTTATTGCTGTTTATGCTCTTGAGGTTAATTATGTCTGTTGTATCTCTTTGATGAAAATACTATACAATGGTGTGCTACTGTACATTTTTTCCCAACATCACATTTAGTGATATTAGCAGCTTGAAATTGGTCATGGTGGGAGTATTTACGCCTTGGAAATCAACAAATGCTACTAGTCTGAGCTGGCCGTATTGGTTTTTTTTTTTTTTTTAGCTGAGCCATCCTGCCACCTGTTGGCAGCTCAGCGGCTGCTCAGCTCGGGCCGGGACTCGAACCGCTGTTTCTCAGAGCTCAAACTCTTGAGCGAGCTCTTAACCAACTGAGCCACTCAGCCGGCTCTTGGACGTATTGTTTTGTTCATTGTTGAGGATTAAAGTGATGGAGAAAATTGCGAATATTGCAGATAAAACTAAAAAGTGTGTTAATATCTATAACGAGTACATTTTGAATAGCACAGAAAACTGAAGAAATGTTCTTTCAGTATTTGAAACCTATTATGCAATTCATCATGAACCATTTTCTCTAATTGGGTAATCTACCCATTACCTTCTTATTCCTTAACATACACACACATACAAACATCCATACCGTGCATATTTCCACCTCTGTACCTCCTGTGGTTTTCCCATCTTCTTTCTATCAAAACATTTTGTAATCCTTCAAGTCCCTTCTCTTTCAGGAAGTCTTCCCAGATATTTCCAGTCTTTATTCTGATTCCCTTTCTATTTTGAATGCTAGAATATTATAATTGGAAAGGACTAGTTCAGTTTTCCATGCAAATGTAGAAATCCCAATATCCCAGTCTCTGCTTGAAAAATTCCAGTGACTAGAAATTTACTACTTCTGAAGGTAGTAGCCCTTCTTATTGTTGTCTAGGAAATTATTTGTTGAAAATGAATCTTCTTCTGTATAATTCCCACTAAGTTTCTGATTCTGTGTTGGGAATGTCACTCAATGGTTATCCCTAGATTCAGAATGAGTTAGAAGACCTCCTGCCACTTACCAAACTATATGGGACCTTACTATCTCAGAGCCTCAGCCTCCTCAGTTTCTCCTATGAAATATGGGTAATAAATAAACCTCACAGGGCAGTCATTTGGACTCAAGTGAATAAAATGAGATTATGGTTGATTAGAAAGCATCGTAGTTAATGGCAAAGACTAAAACCCAAAAGACCAAACTGAGGCCAGCTTTTCCACTTGTGACCTTGGGCAAGTTACCTAACCTACTTGTGCTTCTTTTCCTCATGTGTGAAATAGGAATAATAAAACCTTCTTAGAGATGTGAGGGATAGATAACATGTAAAGCATTTAGCGTAGTGTTTGACTCTAACCACACATTTTTCCGAAGTGAGATTTGTTTTTCCATAGTTTCAGTTATAAAATTGGAATTATTTTTCCCCAAAGGAAAGTAATCCTTACATTCACTATTAGAAATATTTGGTAAAAGAGGGATTAAATTATATGTACACCCTCTGAAACCTTGAGTACCTAGCATTTTCGTATCCTTTGTAGCACTCTGGCAGGCTTTTCTAACTCTGGCTGGGCTTGTCGGTCCATCCCTGGTCATTGTATCCCATTGTGGCCCATTATAATTCCTGAGATGTTTCAGGATGATGAAGACTTCCCATCGCCTTGTCCAAACTTTCTAGAGTATTTTTCAGCGTGGACTAGAGTATGTAATAGATCTGGCTTCAATTTTAAAAACACATAACACTTCTGGCAAGTGTTACTATTTCATGTGTTGTACTCCAACCTGAAAATTCCTGAATTTCATTATTATTTCCAGTTTTAAATTTTTAAATTTGTGTTTACTTAGAACCAGAGATTCTTGTGTAGCTAATAAAATAATTGAAGATCAAATAAAAAGCAGTCTGTTTTACTCTATGCACAGGTCCGCAAGCACATCAATGATCTTTATGAAGATCTGCGGGATGGCCATAACCTGATCTCTCTGCTGGAGGTCCTCTCGGGCATCAAACTGGTGAGTTAATCTCTTTTCTCTAATGCGTGACCTCACAGGTGTGGCCCTGTTAATGACACATGGCCAGCTTGTTGAGTTCTAGGGCAAATTACAAATGATGTGATTTTATCTTAATTAAATTGATGTATCATATATTGGCTTGTCGGAAAAGTCATGACGAATTTTTGCAACGAGAAACGGAAAAAATACATCATGACTTTTCCGACAACCCAATATTTTCATTTCTCCAGGCATCAGTTATATTGCCTTTATAACTGCATGTTTTCTCCTTCCTTGTTCTTTATCTATCTATAGATACTAATAATATTTCAGGAATAGTAGATTCACGTTTAAAGATTTTGGAATGTATATTTTTCTTCCTAGAGTCTTATTTCTGTATATAGACTTTTGCTGTTTTCCCATGTATTGTGAATTGTTTAACTTTCTGCCTTCGGCTGAGGACCTGGAGTCTACATCCAAAATCCCAGGTGTTTAGACTCATTTTTTCTCCAGTTCACCTCACGTTGTTCCTTCTATGAGTCCCTGAGTCTCGCAGGTTTGGAGAAATGCTGAAGCTGAGGCCTGAGCCTGGATGCAGTACATTGGGGCTCCTTGGACAGTTAACTATGCCTGCCTCCCCACAATGCCTTAAACATCGCATGCGGGAAACACCTACGTACGTGAGGGCAGATCCCGTGTCAACCTCTTGGCGTGTCAGATGATAGTTCTTATACTTGATTTGTTTGCAGGATCCAAACAACCTCACTTGGCAGGTCCCATTGTTTCATATATTTGAGCGTAATGGAAGCTGGTGATCCTGCGCAGTTTCTGTTCTATCTATAACATCATGGACAACATACTTTTCATTTAGAAAAGTCCAGGGTTGAATACTGGAAACATCCGTGAGGAAAGAGCTGAAGAGAGGTGCACAGCTTGAGTAGTCTGGGAAGCTCAGCCCACTCACTGCCTTTGGTGAATTCTTAGTCATTGTTTGTTGTGTTTCAGGAACAGAGTTTGGCACATTAGATTTTATTCCTTAAGTAATATTCAGCTTCTTCTGGGATTGAGCTTGGCTTCCCCTGGGTCCTTCGTTTTGGTTTCACACCTTTTTTGCCTTGCAATAGAATTAACTTTATAATTTTGAATGGCCTAAAATTGAGATGCTTTTTTATTAGCGCAGGCAGCACATGATGAATTCCAGTTCTTCTCTGGCCTTCATTTATAAATCTCATAAGTAGTCAGAATTTCACCTTCACTGTGCTGGTCTTTATTCTTCACTGTTCTCCAAGTTATATTTTGTGCAATTTAGCTGGTATATTTGATGGACTTGTAGTGATTTTATATTGGAAAGGGACATTTTTAGTTACATTATTTACAAAACAGGTTATAACCACTCCAGTCTAATTTCTTTTCCTAACCTTTGAAAACCTACAGGTGTTCATGGAGCTATTCATAGGCTATCATCTTGTCACCCAAAACCATCCAAGTATCTCTTTCACAGTTATTCACATTATCACTTTATCCCTTAGTTTATTCATAAAAGCGGAGAGGGTGGGTGGCTATGGAGAATTGAAGATGTGTTTCAACATAAGACGTGTTCAATAAATCCATCTGCTCTAGTCTCACATCTTTTTGGAGGTGAAAGGGTATTTTCATATTTATTTCCATCTTTTTTTTTTTAATGCTGCATTCATTCCCTTTTCATTGTTGTGTTGTGAATTTCCTGTGACTCTGTTATGTCTTTGCCTTGGTTGGTGGCCAAAGGAGCCAGCGGGGCTGAAGACCCTCCGCCTGGTGAGCATGCCCTCCTGGCGCCATGCAAACAGCGAGGAGCAGGAGGAGGAAGATGATGACGATGTAGTAGGTCCTCCTGGGGTGGCAGCATCCCGGCTGGCACTGCAGGGCCACCAGAGAGTGTGAGGTTCTCTAGGTCTCCAGTAGCTCAGTTACCAATCATCTGCTTCCCCATCCACCTGGGAATTTGGGTCCCAAAGAAAGTGGTTAAAACTAATGGTGCCTCTTGCTACCGTTAGATGATCCTGAAGTGGGAATTGTTTTGCTTGTCTGAGAATGGTTGGCACAGAAAGAATAATGGTGTTTGGAGGTGTCAAATCCCTTTGTGACCTGGAGACCCATAGCTTTCTGGTGGCCTTGCTGTGTTGCCTGAGTCCAGATTGCAGAATTGTGGAAAGTTTGACAGCATGACAGTGAATTGCTCTTCCAGACTAACTGGTACTCCCCACCTCTAGCCTCTGAGTTCTCACCACACACCGTGTTGTTTTCAAAATAGCCTGTTGTTTGCAAACCACTCACTGCATGGAGATACGCCTTAGTTAATAACATCTCTAGTTGCTGTGAAGGACAGACATTTAACTTGCATGTTCTTAAGGTTATTTATGTTTGGAGGGGAGTCCATAGGAGTAAAGATTAGAGTATGTGGAAGGGGCGTTTCCTGCTTGCAGGCCCTAAGTTATAGCCCCTGATCTTTCTCCAGAAACAGATTAGGCGATGTCCCCATTCCCTGTCCTTTTAAAAGCCATCTTTTCTCCTCATTGGTGTCCCTTCCCGTTGCCATAGAATCTTCAGTTTCACAGGCCCTGTCATTCTCTAGACCATATTCACAATAATTTAGCTGAAATGAGAAGAGGAACTTGCTAAAAGGATTTTTCCTAAACTTTTGACTTAAGAAGTTATCCTGTTGCCCGGAGAGGGCTCAACATCTCTGTAGATTATCCTAGTTTGGACGTTTTGCTTAGATGTTTGGGGGGCATCCAGAGAGATCTTTCTACTCTTATCTTTTCTACTTGTTGGGTTACTTTTTGCCCGTTTCAACCTGGAGGAAGGTTTCCTCTGTGCAGGTGCCCGCAAAAGAGCTACATTATATTTAATCAGCCTTTAATTAGTACCATCTTGACATTTACAAATGAACTGGGTGTAATCTAGTGAAAGTGATGTTTTAGTCCCAGTTTAAGGAAGATAAAGGCAGCATTGGGAAGTGCGCAGGAGAACGTTGCCTAGGTAGATACCCATTCCTGTAGGTACTCGTCAGGCAAACAGACTTCATGCATATTGGGATGGACAGAAGCTGAGCTGTGGACAGGGTACCAGAGGCACTGAATGGAGATGGGCTTCTATCCTGTGGCTTATGTGACAGTCAGATTTAGTGACTCGTAGAAAATACCTTTCTTTGGATTATCATGTTGAACATCCATATACCATCAAGGTTTTCTTTTCTCTGGGTATTTCATACTGGGGTAAAGTATAGCTTTCCTACATTGACACCCATCTTCCTGGAAAATAAGTTCCTTCCTGATTTTTGCCTCTCATTTTGAACTTTTTTCACTTGTTTCTTAGAACTAGCTACCTCTAACATCTTTTGCCAGGTTTGCAGTAAGGTTGGCTCTGTCCATTACTGTGCAGTATGCAATTAGAACGTTCCACCTTTCCCTTACAATAGCATTAATTGTGATTTTAGGAGCTGTAGAGCCAAAATCTTTATTCCCATTAATCTCACATCCAGAATCCAGTTCTGCTACGTATGACTCCAGGAGAGCCTGTAGAGATGCCGCGGCACTGACTCCACTAGTAGTCAAACATGCCATGTTCACGGGAGGCGTGGCATAAACAGGCCTCTGGAGGCCTCGGCGAGCATGGTGAAACACCATGGTCCTGCCATCGAAGGATGCTTTATGTAATGCTCCCACGCCTGGCTTCAGCCATGATGAATTCTTTCTGGTCTTTTAGCCCTTGAAATGAAGAGGAAAGTGGTCTGCGGGGGTAAATCGGTGTAGCTAAGCATAACACCCCCTGTTTTGTTTGCAGCCCCGGGAGAAGGGGAGGATGCGTTTCCACAGGCTGCAGAACGTGCAGATTGCCCTGGACTTCCTAAAGCAGCGACAGGTGAGAGCAGCCCCCAGTCTGAATGTCGGCGTTCGGTCCCTATTTAGGAGTGTCCTCAGCACCCCGAGTAAGCCCTCAGTAACTGCTAAATCTGACCGACCCAGTTCTAAGTCTGACTTGCTAGTGAGCAGTTGTATCATGCTGGACACATCATTTGGTGGTCCTTGCAGAGAGCTTGTGGCCTACATGAGAGGGAGCGTGTTCACAGAGAAGAGCTAGATGCTAATGGTTGAACTACATGCACCCACCTTAGATGGAGGTCAAAAGGAAGGTGAGAGATGAAAAAAGATACACCACCTGGGAAAAGGGAAAAGCAGTGTGCCACGTTAGCGTGAGCATTAGATGAGGGGATGGCGACACATCAGGTCTGAGGAAAAGCTCTTAGCTGTTGAGCATTGGTGACTGAAGAGAACAGTTTTAATAGAGCAGGAAAGTATTTAGAGTATATGGGACCTGGATAGAGGGGGGAAAAAAAGACGTTTTTCCCTCTGTAGATAAGGAAGACAGTAACACGTTTTCATACATAGGAGGAGAAGCCAGTGAAGAGGAAGACTGAAAATGAGAATGAGGAGAATTAAGAGCCATAGCGTGTTGGACCTAGAGATGCCTTAGCGATCTAGTAGTCCATGTTTTTTCATTTTATAGCTAAGGAAACAGGTCTACATAAGTGCGGTGACCTGCCCCAATTATACAAGTTAGAGCAAAGCTGGGACTTGAACGCTGGTCTCCTGACTGTAGTTTAATGCTTCTTCCACCATCCACGCTGTTTTTCATTCACCAGCCTTCCTCCCGTTGCTTCCACGTTGGTGGAACCAAGTCTAGAGATTGAGGCGTGAGATCCAGAGCATAGCTGGTGTGGTTCCCTTTGAGAAAGAAAACGAAAATACCTCTCTTGTGAGATGCAGGGAGAAGGAAGGAAGGAGGGATAAAGATAGCAGGGGTGATTTGTGGTGGAGAGGAAGATGGATGAGGGGGTCGGAGAGTTCATCTGCTTAGAGCTGCATGGAAAAAATTTGGGATAACTGCCGTTGCTAGGCAACAGCATGGGTCAGGATAACATTAAATGGTATGCATAGTTTTGGAGTTAGTTTGTTTTTGGTCCCTCTTATGAGCAGTTCTCATTGACTTGGGAAATTCTCTTTCTGTGTGTTCTCACAGCAGTTTACTTCTAATATATTATAACACTTACTACTTTGTTGTTGTTTCTCTGTTTGCCCTAATGCACAGTAGGCCCGTTGAAGGCAGGGAATGTGATCTTAACATTTTTATCTTCATCACTTGTCATAGTGATTGGTCCATAATTGGCACTTCATAAATATTTGTTGAAATAAGTTGATAAATGAAAAGTAATTGGAGAATTGGAGGCTGAAGTGTGTAGGGTACTGGAGAAGGCAGCATTGAAATTCTGTTTGTAGAGTTAGAGGAAACCTTCTAGAGGTTTCCTAGAGGGGGCCTTCATGTGCAAGGTAAATTGAGAACAACTGATTAGCTAGAAGTCTAAATAGGTCCAAGAGCCAAGAGTAGATTTAGTTACTATGATAGAATGAAAACGTGGGCAGGTAAGAACAGTGGACTCAGAGAAGGGCAGAGAGAACTCTAGAGCAGTTCTTGGTAATGGTGAGGTCCAAGTGGTAGCTGTGCAGGTGTCCAAAGCAGAGTGAAAATGAGTCATCAGAATTGAGAAAGTGATGAAGATGAATTGTGCAGATAGGGTGATATTTATGTCATTCAGAGGGGTGCTAAAGTTGCCAAGAAAGATGGTAGAAGTTGAGGTAGGAAAGAATAGGAGTTAGGTGGTGAAGTCAAGGAAGGGGTTAGCAGAGGTCGGAAGGTGGTTTGGCCCAGGAAGATGGACTTCAGAACAAAAGGGGGAAGCTGAGAGGTGGGACTGGGCAAGATGGACTTGGCTGATACCGCCACTGACCAGCTGTGGGTTGTTAGGGGTTAGATTAGAAGAACTGCATTCTGAGACTGGAAGGACAGCTTCTCCCACCCCAGAGGGCTAGGAGATGCAAAGAGGGGAAAGAACCTGCCCAGGTATCTTAGTCATTCAGGCAGCTGTACAAAAATACCATAGACTGGGTGCTTATAAACAACAGAAATGTGTTTCTCACAGTTCTGGAGGCTGGGAAGTCTCAGAACGAGGCAGATTCAGTGTCTGGTGAGGTTCTGGTTCAGGGATGGCTGTCTTTTAGCAGTGTCCTCACATGACAGAAAGGGTGAAGGAGCGCTTCTGGGGTCTCTTTTATAAGGGCGTTAATCCCATCCTGAGAGCTCCGCCCTCGTAACCTAATCAGCCCAAAAGGCCCCACCTCCAAATTCCATCAGATCAGGTGTTAGGATTTAACATATGCATTTTGGAAGGACACAGGCGTTCAGTTTATAGTATTGGTCACCCTTGCTGTAAGGAAGAAGTGAGCCTTCTGTTTGAGGTCACTAGGGTTTTTTAGAGACATACAGATTTCAGGTCAGTTGAAGAGATAAAGGGAGGGCAGCTTGAGGACAGTTGGGCACACTTGAACAGTAGCTTCATGAGGGTATTACAGGGGTCGAGCAGGAAGCAGGCTGGTTTTCCTGGGCCACTCTCGGTTTCAGCATTAGAAGTCACATGTCCCAGGAAACCCCTCAGTTTCTAGGACACTGGGGCGGTTGGTCAACCTGGGGGTGCAGTGTATATGTGCACATTGTGTTGTTGGAATGGGGTTTTAGGAGTAAAGCAGATACTATGGGAGTCATGAGCAGGTGGGGATATCTGTTACAAAGTGGATGGAAAATGGAGGCCAGAGCTGGCCAGAGGCTGAAGAGGGAGAAGAGGCATCTCCCCCTGCACCCCCTCACCTTTAAAAAAAAAAAAAAAAGGAAAGAAAAAAGTGAGGGCTGTGATGACTTAATAAAAAAACAACTCTGGGAATGCAGAATGGTACAGTCACGCTGGAAAATAGTTTGGCAGTTTCCTCTAAAGCTAAACATATACCATATGACATTTAACTTGCAATCCCATTCCTAAATTTCTCTAGGAATTTACCCTAGAGAAATAAAAACATGTGCTCACACAAAAACCTGTACATGAATATAGGAGCTCTATTCATTATTGCTACAACCCCAGTGTCCTTCCGTGGGCGAGAGGGTAAAATAAACACAGTGTATGTAGTGTGTTGATACAATGGAAGACCACTCAGCAATGAAAAGAGCAAACTGTTGATCCATGCAGCAACTTGAATTGGGATCTCAAGGGCATTGTGCCGAGTGTGAAAAAGCCAGTATCGAAAGATTGCATACTGTGTGACTCCATTTATATGACATTCTGGAAGAAGCAAAACTGAGAACAGATCAGTGATTGCTGGGAGTCAGGTGGGGGCAGGGTTTGACTACAAAGGGGCAGCATGAGGTCATCTTTTTGGGTGATGGAATTTGTTATCCTGATTGCGGTGGTAGTTACACGAATTTATACATGTGTTAAAACTCAGAACTGCACACCAAACAGATCAATTTAACTGTATATAAATGGTGAAAACCTATAAAAATGAAATCCAAAGTCACAGAACTCTGAGGCCAGCTTTTGTTTCTTTTTCAGGTGAAACTAGTGAATATTCGCAACGATGACATCACAGATGGCAACCCTAAACTGACCCTGGGCCTGATCTGGACCATTATTTTGCACTTCCAGGTAGGGCCTGTGAAGTTTAGGGTCCCTGTTGCTTGGTTTGTACATGGCCTGGAATGAACTAGAAGCTGTACTGCCTTCCACAGACAGTGCGCCTTCCTTCCTTCTCTGTGTTTGGCAGTGAACAGGGGTAAGAGTGGGAGTTGGAAAGGAAGATAAGGATTGGCCTGGAGACAAAGCTGTTGCAGCCCAAACCCAGAACTTCTAATCATTTTCATGATGAAATGGGATTTTTCCCTTGTTTTGCTTGGCCCTGTCACTGCCAGTCTGGTTATTAGAAGTCTGCTCAGCGGAGTCAAAACTTGCTCTTTAGGGACTTGGAGTGTGATGGGTGGGGAGAGATGTTGCATTGATGCTTTGGGAGGGTGGAGTGAGGATTTATAATCCTGCTTTGATGCAGACTTGACCTCATCTCTAATGATCTTAAAATAAGCCTGGTTAATTGTAGCATTGTCTTAGTTTGGGCTTCTATCACGAAATACCTCAGACTGGGTGGCTTTGAACAACAGACGTTATTTCTCACAGTTCTGGAGTTTGGAAGGCTGAGATCAGGGGGCCAGCATGGTGGGGTTCTTGGTCAGAGCCCTCTTCCTGGTTATGGCCTCACATGACCTTTCCTTGGCGCAGGGAGAGAGATCTCGTGTCTCTTCATCTTTTTATAAGGGCACTAATCCCACTATGGGGGCTCTACGCTCATGATCTCATCTAAACCTAATCACATCCAGAATGCCCCTACCTCCAAACACCATCACATTGGGGGTTAGGGCTTCAACATACAAATTTTGAGGGGACACAAACATTTAGTCCATAGCAAGTACCTTAGTAGCTGGGTTTGTGGATGGGCTCATAAGCACAGTCTTGTAGCATCTGTCACACCCAAGAGCGGTGGCATCTTGGTAGTATCCACATGGTCACATGGCCTTCCTAAGACGGCCCATTCTTTTCAAGTAAGCACAGCCCTGTTTTTATAAAAAGACTGTCTTGAATCACTTTAACCCAACTAAACAAAGCTATTTCTCAGACAGCTCTCCTATACCCAGTTACTATACTGGAGGCTGACAGATTAGAGGGAGCACTTTTTGGGCAGGTGGGAGAAGAAGGCTAATATAATGTCTCAGAGCACTGACTGACTCCAGGGGCAGAGGCCGCTGTCCTGTCCTAGTTGGGAAATTAGCACCACCTGCTGGTTGAAGGCAGGACAGTGGGTATATCAAAATTTCTGAGAACCTGAGAAAACTGAGAGTTTAGGGCTTTTTCTTGGGGCTCTGGTTTGGAGCCAGTGCCAGAAATTGGCAGCATGGGTAAGGTTAGGAAAGTATGGGGGTAACGTGTATTTTTGTGGAACCACAGGGTAGCCTCAGGCATGCTTTGAATATAGGGGTAACCAGGAACATGAACTTGGCATGGTGCTCCCTCACAGGGTAGGAACAGGAACTTTGTTGAGCTTTCGTAGAGGACTGGAGTGACCCTCTTGGAACTCTTATGAACAGAGGAACTTTTTTTTTTTTTTTTAGACAAACTGTATTTTCACCACCAACCTGCCCTCACTGTGAGTGCCCAGTGTTAAGTTACATAGGTGTGAGATAAGAGGAATCTGTCTACTGTGTCTCTCTGTTTACCCTGACTACAACTAAATCTCTTTAGCAAGGAAACTCAGGAGCCCAGGAATGAAAACTGAATCGGTTAATTAAAACATTGCTAGGACAGAGGAGATAGGGGTGATGGGTCTGTTGTTATCCTGAAGAGCTAGCTCCATTAGAAAAATGTTTCTTCTCTCTATTTAAAAATTGGTTTTGAAAATTTTCAAACATTTGTAAAAGTAGAGAAAATAGCATAAAGAGCTACCATACACCATCATCCAGCTCAACAATTACTAACGCATGGTCAATATTATTTCTTCTATATCCTGATCCACTCCTCAAAGCCCAGTAGGTTAATTTGAAAAAAATCCCAGACTTCGTATAATTTCATCTGTTAATATTATAACACCATAACAGTTAATTTCTTAAAATCAAATATCTGATCAGTGTTCAAATTTCCCCAATTACCTCATTTTAAAAAATGGTTGGTTTGAATCAGAATGCAAAACAAGGTCACATGTTGCACGAAACCCCCAGCCCCCGCTGCAGTTTGTTGAAGAAATCAGGTCTTTTATTCTATAAGGTTTGTAAAGATGCTGATGGCATCTCTGGCCTATCTTCTGTCAATGTCCTCCATCCCTCTGTTGCATCACCTATAAACTGGTGGTTTAGATCTAGACCTGAGGCTCAGTCACATCTCGGCTCACTTGGAGGAGTGCAAGGATGGTGCTGTTGTGCTGTATACGTTTATTGCTGTACTCCAGGAGGCACATAATGTCTGTTGTCTCTTCATGATGTTAAGATTGATTAGTGGGGTCAAGTGTTATCAGCCTGACCCGTCCATTCTGCATTCTGTTAGCTCTTCATCTAATAGTTTTAGCAACTACTGACCATCACTCCTAGTTCCATTATTTCATTAGAAGTTGCAAAATGGTGATACTCAAATTCTATAATTCCTTTCTTCATTGTTTAGCTGGAATACTTCTATAAAGAAGAGATTCACCTTATTAGTTACCTTGAGAGATAGCTCCTTTAGGAAGGCAAAGTAGAAAGATAAATGCGCCCATCTTTCCCTCTGTTTACCAGTTTTCAGAATAATTAGTTGGTTCCCTAAGATTCTCCAAAGGTGACTAATACCAGTTTCTTTGTTGATTTCCCTCCTTAGTATCACTATGACTCATGGATTTTTTAACAGACTTAATTGTGTTTCAATCACATAAGCTATTATTCATCCTACTACTTCATGTATGTATGTGTGTATTTGTGCAATATGTGGACCGTGTTTGGATTCTGATTGAAACAAACCATTTTTTTAAAGTGACATAATTAGGAAAGTGTGAATGCTGATCAGATATTTGATCATTTTAAGAAATTATTATTTATATATATAGCTTAATCTTTGGTCAGTAAGAGCCTTTTCAAGTTGACTCAGTCCTTTGGCATAACCCTCATAACCTTTGCTAATTTTCTTTTTTTCTTGTGTGATGAGATGTTCCAGACTCTTTTTGTATATTTTCTGTCCCAGGCCTGAAATTAGCAATTTCTCCATCAAACTCATTATCAACAGCCTGAGTGCTACTAGTTGTTTCTAGGTTTTTTCTATAGACAGAACTAGCCAATATTTGTATGTTTCTCTTAAAATGTTATGAATTTATACCAGTTTTTCTAATTCAAATTTAGAATTACAGAGCTCAATTTAACTTCTTCGACTTCATATTTGTATCCGTTTTTTCTACTTGATCCCAACAACAGTAACATATGACTTGTTCCCCTTTACATACACACACACACACACACACACACACACGTCTGTAAAATCATGTATATTATATGTAATATATTTGAATCAAATGGCAATATCAGTGCTATTATTAGCGATATGATTACTAAGAAGTTTGTCATTTCTTTGCATTTTTTTTGTCCTTAGTGTATATTTCCTAAGGATGTACAAATAATTGTACTTTAACTTATTAGAAATAATTTCTGTGTTGTTAAGATTGTTAAGACATCAATTCAGTACATAATTAGGTTCATTTGTTTTTATTTGCTTTCAACTTTTAGGGATTGCTTTGCTCCCTTTCAATTTTATTTTAAATTATGTAGATTATATTTTATACATTATATATTTATGTTGTTCCAAAGGGAAATTTTAAAAAGAGTACAAAGTATATTCAGAGAAGTCTAGCTTCCATCTTTGCTCCCTCCATCCTGTTTCTTCCCTTTCTCTGTAGTTAGCTAACTTTAAAAACTCTTTTTGGTTATCATTCTAGTGTTTGTTTATTTTAGGAAAATACATACTTTAAAAAAAACTTTATTGAGGTGTAATTTACACCATAAATTGACCCATTTTCACTGTACAAGGTCTGACAATTAAGTTCGCAAATTTGCCACCATGTGCTTACATTGGCAGCACTGTACAAACAGCTTTTAAGGTTTCATAACCTTGGTATATCAGTGTCTCACATCTGTGTTCATGTCGACAATTGGCGGTGTCTTGCTGAGTGGCATTCATTATTGTTGCGTGTTTTTGTGTGCCATCGTGAGAATGTCTGAGCTTGAATTAGAGCAACCAACAAACATTAAATTTCCTGTTAAACTTTGCAAGCATGGAAGTAAAATCAGGGACATGTTAGTCCAAGTTTATGAGGATAATGCCATGAAGAAAAAGGCAGTGTACAAATGGATTAAACGTTTTTCTGATGAAGAGAGGCCAGGGCAACCAGTAACAAGCAGAGCTGACAAAAACATTGCAAATATTCGTTGAATTGTGCATCAGAATCATCTGCTGACTGTGAGAAGCATAGCAGACCAAGTAAAGATTGAGAGAGAAAGTTAGGAAAATCTTAACTGAAAATCTTGGCATGAGAAAGGTGTGTGCAGAAATGGTCCCGAAGGAGCTCACTGATGAACAAAAGCAGAGGAGAGTCGAAGTTTGCCAAGCCCTTTTGGAGAGGCAAGACTTGATGTTTTGGGCCATGTTATCACTGGTGATGAAACATGGATATAGCAATATGAACCTGAAACAAAGCGTCAAAGTTCACAATGGAAGTCAGCCAATTCTCCATGACCAAAAAAAGTTCCATCAGTCCAAATCAAGAGTCAAAACGATGTTGCTAACCTTTTTTGATATCAGAGGGATTATTTATTATGAATTTGTGCTAACTGGGCAGTTAACCAAGTGTACTATTTGGAAGTGCTGAAAAGGCTGTGTGAAAAAGTTAGACGAAAACGACCTGAACTTTTCACCAATTCATAGCTCTTGCATCACGACAATGCACCAGATCACACAGCACTGTCTGTGAGGGAGTTTTTAGCCAGTAAACGAATAACTGTATTGGAACACCCTCCCTACTCACCTGCTGTGGCTCCCAATGACTTCTTTCTTTACCCAAAGATAAAGGAAATATTGAAAGGAAGACATTT